GTATTGAAAACAGAGTCCATTAGTGAATGAGCAAACATATGGTTATTTGATATGCAAGTATCCTTTAAGCATACAAATTTTAAACAAAAAATAAAAAAGAGTATACTTCCAGTTTACTTTTTATCTGATTTAAGTTTATCAACACTATACTTGGCTTGTACTAAAAATATACTAAGTTTAAGTGTACTTAGTCTATACCAATGTTTAAACTTTTAGCCAAGATAAACTTTAGTAGTACACTGAAAGTACATTTTTACACACATATTTTCATAAACTTACTCTGGGCCAATTTAGTCCCAGAAGTATACTTCTAAGTAAACTGCTAGTGTACTTATATCAGTGTACATGGTAAATAAAAGTACAATAAGAGAAATACACTTTTTTATACTTTAATATACTTAATGACATGCACCTAAAGTATACTTATTTTGGGTAAGTTTATAAACTTAAAGACATAACAGTATAGTACACGTAAATTATACATTTTGTAAACAAAAAAGTTCTAATTTAGTACGAACAAGTCAGTATACTTTCTAGTACACTAGTACATAGTACCTAGTATACTTGATAGACTTAAACTTATACTCAAGTATCTTTGTTAACATGAACTTCAAGTATACTACTTTTTGCTAAGGGTTAAGTAGGCTAGATTAATTTTTAATTAAAAATAAGAGGGTATGCTTTCAGCTGACTTAGGCTAAAGTTTATGCTGGGCTATACTTAGCGTATACTAAAAAATATATATACTTAAAGTCTGAGTATATTTGGCCTACTTGACCCAAAGACCAAGAGAACATTTTCATACAGACTGTTGTATTCGTAGTAAACTGCAAGACGTTTCTGTCCTCTTTTAACTCTTGTAAGTTTCTGGGATCAGTGGTGCAGGACCAGTATTTTATATTACTCTTTAGAATTGAAGTAGTACAAAAAAATGCAGTTGAAAGGAAACTGTGAACAAGGGAAGAGGTGACAAAGAGGTTAGAGAAGGAAAACTTATATTGGAATCTTCCAATCAGGTTTGAATCCTAAAGAAGGGAGAGTTAAGGTCAAATAAAAAAAAAACCACTAAACAGTGGGCTTATAGCAACTTACTTTCTTCCGAGTGTATTTTGATAAACTAAAAGTAAAGTTGAAGTTTATTAAGCTAAAAGTGGGATGACTTTAAGTATATTTAGAGTTTCACAAACTTAAAGTAGACATATGCTTTTAAATTTTCTTTTTCATATTTCAACCATTCATTTGGGGGTGTAAAATAAGTATTGAACACGTCACCATTTTTCTCAGTAAATATATTACTAGAGGTCCTAATGACATGAAATT